ACGTTTCTTGCAATTTTAGGAACATTTTGAATGATTCAATCGTCCAACCATTCCATTTGGATCAGAATTTTCTGATTGTTGTAACGCAAATCGTGCAGAATGTTTCAAAGACACTGAATGATATCTTCGGAATTTTAATGAATTTCGATTTGTTAAATGTGAACATTTTGATCAAGAATGACAGTTCATGGACTCTTTATTTCTACAAGCCATATATGAAAAGCTGCCATTCATTTGAGATACTGAACATAGACATATTTACTCCCGAAAATTATACGAATGAGCTGAGTGCTTCGTACAATGATTTATTTCCCCCGAAACAGTTCAAATTCCATTACTGCAAAATTAAAGTGGCAACATTTCCGCTTCCACCCTATGTGATCACCAAAAATGTTAGCAACGGAACAATTGAGTATCGTGGAATTGATGTAACAATAGTTGATGAAATAAGCAGGGCATTACATTTGATCCCAGTATACTTACAAGCACCAGATGACAAACACCGCGGTGTCTTATATCCAAATGGTACTGCAACTGGAGCCATGCAAATGGTAAGATCAGAGCAGTACAGCATTAGTTTTTCATAAGATTAGACTCAGTTTTTTTTTTTTCACATTTAATCGTTTCAATGCCAATACCTTTAAAATTAGGTATTGTTGGGAAATGCAAATATGACTATGGGTTCATATGCATTAACAGCGGAGAGGGTTGTGGTGATGGCATACACAAAATCGTACACACAAAATACATTTGTTTTCGTGTTTACTCGGAATATGATAGTAACAACGCCATTATGGCGACTCATGGCACCATTTCAACGCTTTTTGTGGATTTCAATTGTCGCACTTTTGACCGTTTCCATTCTAATGATATTCTTTTCACGAAAATTATCAACACGTCAAAGGCATTTTTTGATTGGAGGTCGAATGAATCGAACGCCGATTTTGAATATGATTAATGTGCTGATAGGGAATATGATTTCGAATCCACGTATGGCAAAACGACATTATTTTGGAGTTTTTGCTCGTTCATTATTTATACTTTGGGTGCTCTTTTGGCTCGTCGTTAGGAACTCATATCAAGGATCATTGTATGGATTTCTACAAACTCAACGGAACAACTCACCGTATGATACTGTCAAGAAGATACGCGAATCAGATGTCAAGATCAATGTGATTGGTTCGGCATCAGGCCTTATTCCGCAACTTTTCAACAAGGACAGGTGAGTATTTTTTTTTTCAAATCCATTGAATTCGGTGTGGTTTTTCGTTACTTATTTTCATTTTGGCAGATTTGTAGCACATGAATATGATGATTTCGTTGCATTGGAAAAGCTGCAGAACGGCGAATTGGATGGTGTTTACTTCACAAACGACGTCACAGTTAATTATTACAATTTGATTAACAAATCAAGGCGAAAAGTGCGACACACTCGAGATATAGTTCGACCGCATACGCCGGTGTTCTACTTTCGAAAAAGTTCCATTCTCACGTGGATGTTCGATCGGAAAATTGAATTATGCAATGAATCCGGCTTGACACTTCATTGGATCCAAAAATACACAGTGCAACCAGAAAAGCGCAAGTATAGGAAACCATCGAAATTGGAAATGACCAGCATCATGGCCATAATAAAAATTTCAGCGACCATGTACATGATCACTTTCATTGTATTTATCATGGAAGTTTTCAGCTATAAAAGTGAATATGTTAGAAAATTTCTGAACTTTTTAACCTATTGATCGATTCGGTCACGCAAAATATAACAAGTCCCATCAAATATTTTGTCTGTTTTCAAATTTTCTTAATAAAGCAAGTGGTTTAAGCATGCAAGTGAATCGGAAAAATGTGTTTTATTTTCGATATTTCCATCCACTTTGATAGAACTGATCTAGGAAATAAAAATATTTGATATAAAACCGTAGTATATAGTGTGTTAAATAATCAAGAAAATATTTTATGCGTAGACATTTTGTGATGATCATTTCAAAGATGAACACCACGAAGCTGATCAAATATATACCGCCGCAAATTTGAAAAGTAGCCTCAATATTTTCCATTCGAAGCTTGGACGGTTCTCTTTGTTTTTTATTTCGATTACGATGATCGGTGTAACTTTTAGCCCAAAACTCAATGAATCCTGTCTCCTGAAGCGTTTGTATCTGTTTATCAAATACTTCTGTCAGCACTGACTTCTTGCGCAAGAGAAAGGCTCGGGAATACATAAAAAGTCTATCTTTTGTAAAAGCGAGATGTCGATGCGGAAAATTTTGCAAATTAAATGCCTTCTGAGTTAGATCCTGGAAGAGTGCAACGCCTTCAAAATTTCCATCATACAAAATTGGGAGATTTGACATAAAATCGCGCTCGCTAAATACAATGCTAAGAATGAAATTCAGATGTTATTATTGAAGTGATTTCGGTTGGAATTTTTTTTTATTTTAAAAACATTACCGATCCACGCTGAACATATTGCCAATTAAATTATATGCTGATGGTGGTACCATAATTTTGCAGTCTGTTTTGCAGTCCGATTTGCCAATCCTTTCGATTGTGTCGTTGTGGTGGGTCGATTAGCTTGCAAATATGTGTACAACGAGCCTTGGTATGCATTTCGAATGATTAGCCATTGAAATATCCAAAGAATGGTCAGAGTTCTGGCAAACGTTCCAAAATTTCGACGTTGTGAAATTTTTGGATTTGATATTGGATATCCCAAAACGGTCCATAGATTCAAAATTGGAGTTCGATTCAGCTGACCGCCAATCAAAAAATGACGCTTCGGTTTGCTCAACTTCTTCGTGTGCAGTATTATTACTAAAGAAAGTAATAAAAATGCATCACTTATCATCCATAAATGATTTCAAAATGGCGCCACGAGTCGGATGAGTGGAATGTATGCACGTTGTAACAAAAACCGAATGAAGCTTGCAGATAATGAGCTGTCGTTGAAAATAGCTCAGATCGTTCTTTTGTTATAAAATAGCCACCAATTGCAACGACTGCCTCGCCTCTGATAACCAATTCCATATTCCCGTTAACAATTCCGTTTGGAAAAATTATTCCATGATTATCCGGTGTCTGCTTGAAAATGATGGTAAAGTTGAGTGATTTCGAGATTTGTGTGATGATATCAATATCAATGCCCCTGAAAGGACTGTATGGATCAGAAATGTTACGTCGAAAGAGTAGTGGATTGATGATCGATGCAGCAACTTTCAACGGGCATCGATTGAAGTTCCGCAGCTTTTCTGGATACATTCGATCTTTTGGAAGCGTTTTGTTGAAATTAGAAGGAGTAAATGACGCAAGTTGAAGAGTGCTTAAAGTGGAACAATCGTTTTGATATGGCATGAATGTATAGAGTGACCACGATGACGTCAACAACAATGATGGTGTTTTCACATCATCCCGTGCCATAACATGTGAATTGATCAAAACATTCATTCAACATGTTTGTAATATTCGGTTGAAAATCGGTCAAAACAACCATAAACTTTTGAAATAATTGATATTCTTCAACAAGTGTAGCGTTCACAATTCTTCTGGATTGTAAAAGAAGACCTCAAATGAATATTTTGTACAGATTTTGTTTTATTTTTGCAATCAATTTCTTGTTTGGTTTTGAACAAATATCATATTCACGAAAGCAGTTTACTGTCATCGATTTTGAATTAAATTGAGATCTTTTCTTCGATCAAATGTCGGATAGTTCACGTTATTGAAAATATTATGCGTGTAGTTCGTCAAGTGTTTAGCGTTGAAAAGATTTCTTGAAAAATCTTCTTTGAAATAACGCTGGTCTTTATCGGATGACACAAGGGTAGCTGAGATAGACATCTGTTCATCGGTAATGTACTTTTTTATAAACTTTGTGATGATTTCACTTAAAAACACATTTTCATTCGAAGCCAATTGATTGAACGCATATTCTTTGGAGGGAATCGATGCATATTCAGTCACTAAGTATCATCGTTCGACAGTTCATATCAATTTGATTGACCAGAAACAATAAGAGTAATGAAAACAATTAGACATCGAAACAATTAGAGAAAACCGTTTTGTATTTTGTTTTTGTCTTTAACTTTACTGACCGAATTCATGCCAAGGCTTCCATTTATAGTACCATCTTTTATTTGATTGACGACAACTAAGTATTGGTCATTTATTTTATTCGAAATTAATTATTGTTTGTCTTGGTTATGATAAGTCGAAGCATTCATTTGATTCAATTTACTTAATACATGGTTGTACAAAATAAACACACGCATAGTGCGTAGATGGTAGTTGTAAATAGACTTTCTTTTCTTTGGAGTATTTTTGTGATGATTTCAAAAGTATCCAACGTATAAAATGTCATAAGATCAAGGTTGAATTTCTTGATTAACTTTCTGTGCTTTTGATTTAAATTAAAACCCTAGGTGAATTTATGTATTCGCGAATTGACAGGAATTCGCACAATTCGCACGCGTTTTGACTTCAAATTCATTCAAATATTTCACGAATTTTGCGAATTTTTTGCGAATTGGTCAAATCCAAACATTGACAGCTGGCGCCATCTTAGTTGTCATTCGCAGTGACAAAGCAGAGAATGTGAACAATTCGTAAAAAAATCGCAATGGAACGATAAATTCGATAGATTCAACTGACATAAATACCCCTAGTTAAAACCATGCATGATACCACTTTTTTTATTTTAATCTGCTTTTTTTCTTTTTTTCCGCATTACATTGAAAACATTTTAATGGAATCTGGACTTATCATTAAACAATATCGACACATTTCAGAATAATTTTTGAAAAACACGAAACACGATATTTTGCATATTCCATATAAGTAATCATTTAATGCATTTCTAATAGTGAAAGTTCTTCTTTTATCTGTTGTATCACACAATATGATTTTTATACTGAAAAACGGAATTGAAATGAATTTTGTTCATAAAGAATAGATAAATGTCCAGACGAAAAAAATGAATAACTGTCAAGACACAATTGTTCTAATATTTGTCATTTTATTTTTCAATTGTTATTTACAAATTGTATGTGCAATAATTTCATTTATGTGTATGGTGTTGTGAGCTAGATTCCAAGATTTTGGGCTGAGATGTGGTGAAAATGACATTTTACCAACCGCCACCTTGTGACCATCCTCCACCGCCTCCTTGTGACCAACCTCCACCGCCTCCTTGTGACCATCCACTGCCACCTGAACTCCATCCTTTATTTCCACCTGAGCTTGGAACAGTGATAATCTACGGCAAATGAATATGAAGGAAAATTATTTTTGCTTGATTAAAGTTTTCTATCAAAATTAATATAATACATACTTTGATGGTTTGAACGTTTCCTCCATGACCACCACCGCCTTGTGACCATCCTTTACCACCACTTGACCAGCCGCCACCGCCTTGTGACCATCCTTTGCTACCTCCGTTCGACCATCCTCCATGTCCACCCGATGAACCTCCCTTAACGTGAATTACCTATTTAATGAAATATTTATTACATGTCATTCTTTGAAAAGGTATAATCTTTGCAATTTAACTGGAAAAGATAATAATATGGTTAAATATCGGTTGCAAACTAAGATATAACGAAAAGTAATTGAGCAAATAGAATAAATTACACATTTCTCTAATATTGATAGAATTCTATTGTCTCAGCATATATTGGTGTAGATAAATGAATTCGAAATGTTGGAAATGTAGAAAAAAAAATGTGTTTTACATAAGGTCTCACAATTGCACCCGTGTAAAAAATCGAATTGGAATAAACAAATAACATTAAATTCCAAATATTATTGCCAATTAAAATCACTTTTATGAAGCCGAATTATCAACAAACTGACTTTTTATAATAAAGTAGATGAAATCTCATCGACATAATGCAGTATATCCTATTGAGACACGAAGATTTCCAGTATTCAGCAACAATTGTCATTCAAATCCGACAACATGATATAAATGACTACACAATTATTTTTAGCGATAAAACCATGTAAATTCTGTTTTAAAAAACGTTTCAATCGTTGAATTACTTTTATAATTTGGCTTGGCCTTGAGCTGCCGCCACTTGACCAGCCACCGCTACTTGGCCAGCCGCCACTGCCACCGCCGCTTGACCAGCCACCACCACCACTGCTACCTCCGAAAAGGGATCCAGCATTGGCAACAGCAAAAAACACTACTAAACAAATGAACACCTGAAATTACCAACAAGTATTGAGTTTCGTACGGCTTTATCGTTAGTTCAAAATCAAACAATTTTTTCTATCTTTTCTAAAATTTGAAATGATCAAGCTCTTTACAATCATTGCAACGAAAATACAAGCAGTTCTTGCAGTACCTTCATATTGTGAAAATAATCTGTGAACACTGAACACTTCAACTACGCAAAGGTAACTGATTGTGGTCAGTGATTTGTTGTACGCTTTTATACTAGCTCATCTCCCTATCTACAATGAAAATATCCCATAAGTGTCCAACATAACATCTTCTAATGTATTCAAAGAAGACGAGAAAAAAAAACTCCGAACACATAAAAGAAGAATAGAATAATTAGTATTGATGGAGCATTAAAGTTCCAATAACAACAATGCAATTAGTGGATTATAAATGGTTCTCGGCCATTGCATATTCATTATCTGTACCGATGTGTGCCCTTCAGATGCTTTTGATGTTCGGAAGTGCGTGCAATTTTCGATTATCAAGCAAACGAATTGGCCATATGAAATGATTAACAAAGGTCGCACGATCATTTACACTACCTTTTACTTTTTATAATCACAGTCTTAACACATGGTACATAGCAGCATATTTCATTTGGTGGTCGCTCGCAGACAATGTGTGACATAATCGATCACATGCAAACGTCAAATAACCTGTAGTCAAAAATCAAATGGCAATAAGTCCACAAGACAATCATCACCGTCTACCTCAATCTTGACTAAGAGAAAAAAAACTATCATTCCATGAGGAAGCTATTAACAATTCATCTGAAAATAGTATTAGAATATATTGTGAGATATGAATAACAGACTCATACATGGGCAGAACATGATTTGAAGAAATCGGTCACGATGTCTATCGATTGATGTTGAATTTTTAGTGAATGTTGTGGGATTTAAGTGTAAAGCACGAATATTTGCTTCTGAAGGTGTTATCCAGTTTTTACTTAGTTTTAATCACAACATTTTAAGTGTCGATCATTCATGCTGTTTGTTAAACACCAGCACAATTTTTTGTTTGCACAAAAGAAGTGAAGACAAAACTTCAGCTTGAATGACTGAAAATATCTCATGTGAATATGACCTCAACCTAATGACATCGCTTGAATAGGTCATTTGTCAAATTATACCAAACGATGCACACTAATTCATCAATCGCTTGATCATTTGGCTTTTTTTAATGGCAAAACTAAATTGAAGTAAACAACTGTTTTTATTTCTTTGTTTTTTTATGCTACAGTTTTTATGTCTATATCGCTCTGAAACGACGTCGTAAATTGCATATCACCAGTTTTATGTTTGTCTTCAGCAGAAGAATTTACTTGGTTAATTTTTTTTCATTGATTTTTGCCTATGAAGCCCAAACAAGTACGTAACAAAGTAGATGAGGTTAGCGCGGTTTTGTGCACGGAACATCGTGAAGACAATACACCGTGAATTGATGAGAGATTACAAAAAAATGCATTTTCGTATCGGTTTTACGGCTCATGCACAAAGAAAAATTCCGTACTTTTTGCTCAGTACTTTAGCTTTTTGTAATTTTATCTTCGATTTGCCTAACATAATACTAAAATGTTGTTTTAATATTATTATTATTTTATCATTAATTGGTAGTGACAGCTTGTTTCCAATAACCATCGACAGAGAAGCGACAAAAACATTCCATCGAAGGAAATGATCATGATTAAATTTTTGTTTATCTTTGGATTGTGAAAACTATGTTGTTTTTTTCGTGTGAAGATGATAAAATTTTGCTAATAAGAGGTTGTCTAAATGGCCATATTTTCCGAATAATTTCTTCCCCATTCAATAACATTCATATGTAATTATCAATAATAATGCTACCTGAATATTGCCTATTTATTTATTGAAATTGCTCTCCCAAATAGGTCAATGGAAACAATGAAATTAGCATGAGTGAACGCTACTGATGCAGTGTTTTTTTGTGCTCAGTTTCTCATGTTGAGCATGAGGGGAATCTGAGCCGCTTATTCGAACAATAATAATTATTTCGATATATATGTATATCGTTGAACGTGTGCTTATTTAAGCAGTCTGCGGTTGCGCATAGTGAATTTGTATAATGAGCGAGCGCAATGCGCATGCATTGAGGTATTTCAAAATTACCGGCACATGAAATATGAATGCCATACACACAAAAGGAGCAGATGTTTTTTCGAACATTTTTATAATCATGCATTTAAGCTGGTAATATTATTGGCCGAAAAAGCGGAGAAGAAAATCATAAAAACATTCGCGGTGTGTGCATTCGAAGCGACGAACTGCACGTTTTATAATTAGATAAGTAGATAGAGGAGGCAATACGACGAAGCGAGCGAGCGAACGAGAGCTAGAGAGAGAGAGAGAGAGAGAGAGAGAAAACAACAAAATCATTTGTAGGTCAAGAACACTCACGTTGTTGTGCGATTTCAAGGGTGATCGAAAGAGGACCATCAATTGACTCATCGGAACGGGGTTCGCTAATGCGAATGCAATCGTACGAGAAAAAAAATTGTGACTGGGGTTTCAAGAGTCGTATAGTTTTTTATTTTCCTCTATCAAAATTGTGACAATAGGTGAATACGACGACGATGACGTGAAATTTTTCAACGATGATCCATTGCACTTATGCATCAATGCTGTTTCGCGGTGATACAAAAACTCTACTCTTGTTTTCTATGTGCATAAGAACGACGGTTTTGAATGGAATACGTTTTTTTTATCAACACTGTCGTGTTTACCGTTGAAATTCACCGTGTTTTTTTTCAGCTCCTTTCAAACAAATATAAATACGTACTTGAATGTCTAGGTCCGGAATTTGTTTTGTTTGAGCTGTGTTGCGATGGCAAAACGAAAAATGCAGACACACAAAAAGCAGCGAGACGACGAGAATCGAAACCGAACCGACAGTGACGAGCGAAGAATGCACGTGGCACACGCAATACACGCGACTATTTAATCGTCATTTGTTTTGAAATGTTCCTTTGGCAAGATACACACGCTTTGAACGAACTGAAGGAGAAAGAAAAAAACACAAAACATAACGAAATGAAAAAAAAAAACTGAGAAACCAACGGCATTTTATGAATTTGAAGGTGAACGATGCATATTTTTTTTCCATTTCATCATATGAATAACCAAACTGTGTGCACCATCATACAATGCGGTGAAGACTGACTTTGAATTTATGGATTGTGCAACAGAGGAAAGAAGAAGAAGCAGTGACGGTGAAGGTGAGCCTTTCAACGATAGATCGATACGAATGAAAAATGAAATTCGGTGATGGTATTGATATAAACGGATTTTTTCTGTCGTTCAACTACCGATCACAGATCAATGCACTTGGATGAATAAAATCGATTTATCACTGGAATTGCGGTTTTCGGTACCGTATTGTGCATCTTTTTTTTGTACGAGCGCTGAAAGCCATTGATCGAAGATCACAAGTTGAATCAATAGATGGCCTGGCCTCTCTTTTCAAAATCTGTCCTTTTTTCTTTGGTCTCAAAGCGCATGACTGAAGCCATTTGAAGATGCAAAAATAATATTTGTCTTGTGATATTTATTTTCATTAGGAGCCTCCAGAGAGAAGGACGACAGGATCGACAGAACAAGATAAAAATGCGTCTATCAGTTGAAATCATCGAGAGTAATGCGCACACGTTTTGACATCTGATTTTATTCCATTTTCTCAAATGATTGTAATTTAAATGTTGGACACAATAGAATTGTGTAAAAACTCCAGTCGAAAACGGTTTTCTAAAGGACAGAGAGGGAGAGAGAGTAAAGCAGCATAGAACAACAACAGAGAGAAATATCGAGAGAGAGAGAATATAACAATCAAGAAAAAGAAATCTTAGTTCTTTTTATGCACAATGCAATATATTTTCTTCTATGCTTGTGCGCATTGTGCACGAGCAGTTTGAGCTCATCTCGGGGCATTGTTTGCTTTGGATGGAAGAAGAAGTAGGAGCACAAAAAAATACGATCTCTGATGACGAAATTCAGGTAGAACACATAAATCTATTTGTTTTCTGTACGAACAATTTTTTGTTCTCTGTGTGTAAACGAAACGTTTATTCTTATTATTTTTCGTATTTGAGTCATATAAAGGACACGGACACGGAGCAAAAGACAGAAAAAAAGCATTCGTACGTTCGTTCTATTCGGTATGGTGCTTACACATTATGTGAATTTCGTTTGTCGAATGCATTCGAAGGAGTCTCGAGCCACATTGCATCGCGCGCGTACTCTTGTCCTGCGTCGGCCAAACATCTTTTCAGCACATAATCTCATTCCGTACCGATTTTTTTCCTTTTCTTCTTTAAATAAATAAATATCTTTTATTACGAGAAATTACGGAAAGAGATTTTCTTTTGGTGCTCATCGAACAAATGATTTCAATTTTTATTCCATCGTCTTTGCTCATTGATCGAATGATATATCGCAATGGAACTGAACTGAAATGCTCTTTGGAACCGAAACCGAAGAAGCTAGCGAGCGAAACAGACTGAACGCAGACAATGTAAGACCATATCCCAACTACAAATCTTGCGATCATATTTTCCATTGCTCTTTTCATCGCTCAAATCACCGGTTTTGATACTTATTGTTTGATGAAATCGTGCGTGTATGGAAAAAATATTAAAAATCATAAAAGCCGAGACAGACAATGGACGATTTGGTTAGGTAATGTTATTTTTGGCGCTTTAAAATGATCTCAGAACAGTGAATAGAACCAACAGACAACACTGTATTTCGAATATGGGGAAGTGCAAATAAAAATTGCGAAATAAATTACCAAGCGCTCTTCTTCTCTTTCTTTAAGACGAAATGTAAACGACCCTGGATAGATGAATGTGATCCATTTTACGTGATGTGAATCGGTAATTCGATACAAAATGAATCGATTCTGGGTCATATTCACTTCAAGTCTAGCAACTAACGTACCCTTTTTCCATATTATGATTTTGTTACAGTTTCTTTTAAAACCTTTATTCTGGTGCGTTTATTCTTTTCGCAGTCATCGAATACGCTTTCGAGTATACTCCGACCTAAATGGAGTCGGCAGCACATTTTCATACAGGATTCACACTGAATAGACGAGTTGTTCCCATGATCCAGTTCCCTGTTTCTATTTTTTCCATTTATTTACATAAATTTGCTAT